GGCTGCACTGGGTTCAGTTTTGGGCCCCTCACTCCAAGGAGGACATCAAGGTGCTCAAGTGTGTCCAGAGAAGGGCAACAAAGTGGGGAAGGGTCTGGAGCACAAGTCTGATGGGTTCAGTTTTGGGCCCCTCACTCCAAGGAGGACATCAAGGTGCTCAAGTGTGTCCAGAGAAGGGCAACAAAGTGGGGAAGGGTCTGGAGCACAAGTCTGATGAGGAGGGGCTGAGGGAACTGGGGGTGTTCAGCCTGGAGGAGGCTGAGGGGAGACCTGATGGCTCTCTACAACTACCTGAAAGGAGGGTGCAGCCAGGTGGGGGTCGGTCTCTTCTCCCAAGGAAGAAGTGATAGGACAAGAGGAAACGGCCTCAAGTTGCGCCGGGGCGGTTTAGCTTGGGGATATTAGGAAAAATTTCTTCACCAAAAGGGTTTTCAAGTATTGGGACAGGCTGCCAAGGGAAGTGGTGGAGTCACCATCCCTGGAGGTATTTAAAGGACGTGCAGATGTGGCACTTAGGGACACAGTTTAGCGGTGGACTTGGTAGTGTTAGCTTTACGGTTGGACTTGATCTTAAAGGCCTTTTCCAACCTAAATGATTCTACATTTCTCAGCTCAGGCAGAATGGAAACAGCAGTGGAAGAACAGGTAGATAAATCTGATGTGTAACAGTTACACAAGCTGGACAACAGCCACACAAAACCAAACTGGTTTTGAGGGCACCTGTGCACCAGCCACATGGATCTAGCATACTCCAAGAGCAGTGACCAACAATAGCCTTCCACCCGGACATCAGCGTAGCCAGCAAGCTGGGACTCACCCAGGCAGTCATAAGGAGAGACTGAAGTGTCAGTGGTGTTGGTGGAGGTAGAGCGTGGATGTTGGTGAGACATAGCTCTTTGAACTTCTTGCCAATCAGGCCCAGTACTTTTTCTACTTGTTGCGGGGAGCCTGGAAGACAAAAATCCCGTAGCAAGTCTGTAGCACAGATATGCTGAGGACACCCCCACCACGTGAAGCCGTAGAGCTACCAAAAGCGTTCTGCGCTACATCAGCAACTTCAGTTTTCAGAGACTGGCCATGTAGCCCAGCATCAGACCAACGTGAGCAACTCAGACCGCCAGGTCCCAGTTTCAACAGCTTTAGCTTCCAGGATGAACCCAATTCACTGGCAGAGATTTTTCAGCCACAATTAATCTAACAACCTCCACAGTCAATACTGCATTTGCTGATACATGCCACAGCTCCTTCTTCATGCAAAGGATCCTGCAAAAGGCATTGGTTAAACTACAGCAGCTGAAGATGTTAAAAAGCACTCTCACCTCGAGAGCAGAGGGCTCACGCGCCAAGGCACAGGCGACTTGGCACAAACCTCTACCATAACAGCGCCGAGCAGAAAAGTTTTGTAAAGCACTAGACTCAAAGCCACTAAATCTGTTTCAATTCCTTGCCCATCCAATTAAGGCCCCCAAGCTACATATTAGACCCCACATAAAGAGACATTCCACTCACCTTCAATGTGACAGACTTGGGAGTCACGGAAATAAGGTAGTGTTGAGACATAAATTTTGGCACCAGATGCTTGCTTCAAGAAGTTCATAAATCTTCCTTGTTTGCCGATCAAGCGGCCAACTAAATCCTTTGTGAAAGGGACAAGAAAGCAAGTCAGGAAGAGGAACAGAGATCAAACAACACTCTGCGGATTATTTCACCTACGTTCCCAGCTCCTGTAGCATAGGGCCAGGCAGGATAAATAAAGGCAATGCTGGACCAGTGCAGAGTTCAGCTGGTCTGGGATAAGTCAAGGCAGATACAGATCAGTAAGCACAACTCATTTCCATAGATCCATCTTCACATCTCATAGAATGGCAGAAAGACACAATGGGACAAACCCAGGCCTGCTAAAGGCTACTGGCTTCCTACAGTCAAGTCATATTCTTTCCCAATCTCCCACCACTTTTCTCTTTTTTAAAAGCATGCTACATGCATTTTTCATTCAAATATGAAATACTAAGTTTTAGCAACTTTTAAACAAGCTAATTAGATTAGAAAGGGAGTAGAGACATTCAGAGGAGAGCGAAGCAGGCTATCATAGCCATTAGACCCCAGAGTCCCCGGCAGCTGTGCGGGGCGACGCAGAGATGTCTGTGCAAGCCCTGTCACGTCTAGTCCTCCACTGGCACCTGCCACCACTTCCTGTCAGAGCCCAGATCCCAGAGCAGAAGTGTTGGGCCTGAGTCAGCGTGGATAATCCTATACAAGGTGAAGTTAGCTACTTTAAGAAAAGTGACAGCCTGTCTGCACTAACCACTGAAACATATTTTTCTGTTGTAGAACTGCTTCCTTCGCCTGTGTTTTATTGATTATTAAAATGCATGTTACGTGTCTTCACTGGGCTCACAGCATCCAAGCACTCAAGGCAGCATGCTTATCCTGCCCGGAGCTGCTGTCTCATGTTACTGGCTGTCAGTATTCAGGTCTGCTGAGAAGCAGAACTGCAAGAGCAATGCTGTGCAGGAAAGCCACAAGTCATTTTGCACATACAAAGCAGGGAAGAAGGGATGAACACAGTCCTAAACCCCACAATCTCTCCCTCAACCCAAAAGAAAGCTCACTATGAAGACATAGACACTGCAGCTCCACAGAATAGCTCAGATGAACATTCAGCTTGTGAGGAAGGGTTTGGTCAGGCAGTCAAAATATAACCCTCCTATATAGCGGAGAGGGGAAAAAACAATTCATCATCTACCCTCAATAACAGTGTACCCTCAAAGCCCTCTGAACGCTTTCAAAGCGCTGGACTAACAGACTGGGGTGGGAGATAATGGGGAATAATGAGTCAAACAACCAGCACGGTTACCCTGGGTGTAGCACTGACATGCTTCTTGTTTACAGTTGTGTACTGGCTCGTCACTCTCGTTGAGCCTTAATGGGAACTAAACACTTAAATCCTCTTTTATTTGTGGTTGATCTCCCCAGGATGGCACAGTGCCAGCACCAGACTGGAAGAACCAGAAGATGGCTATGTAGGGCAGGGCAGGAGGTGTGAGCAGGCCAGCGGCTGCTTACCTTTGGGACCTCTATTTCCCAGATAATGAAGTCGGACTTGCTGGACTCTGCTTCTAGCTGAGCGTTCTGGTGAGCCACTGTCTTCCTCATGGCACAGCCACTGTCCACAAAATCCATGTTTTTGACATCCAAAGCTACAAGACATGCACACGTGTCAGCATTCAGACAGTCCAGCTACCAGACACAAGCCCATGAAAATGCAGCATTTCATAAAGAGGTTACATCGAGCTCTTCCTATGCATTCAGTTGGGATGTTCCTGTATCAGGTTCTCCAGTATTTCAGAAAGGGTAAAGTCCTGTCACACATAACCTACTGAAATATTCCTTTTATACCTGAAGAAAAACCTGCATGCCTCTAGGAACGCAACAGAGGCCTGAGTTCAGAAGGAGTCCTTACAAATAGCAACACCTTACACAGCAGCAGAGACAGGACACTAAGTCAAAGTTACCAGCTGAAGGAGACCTATGCTGACATCGACCCTGAGCTGCTGCTGCGAGATGTTCTGTATTTTCCCCATGGCTTCAGCAGGGTTCTTCACAGGGAGTATAGCATGCAGGGGGGCACAGTTCATGCAAGCTCTTCCTCTGCTCTTTGCACTGACATGACATTCCTGCCCCAACATGGGTTGCACAGTGATCTGAATGCCAGGCATGCACACTACTAGCTGTGGTAGGGGATTGCCTCTTGCCAAAATTTCTCCTATGCTTGAAGAAATGAGGTGCCAGAGCTGAGCCATGTTTTGTTTCCAAACCATCAGGTGATACCAGGAATACTTCTACCTGGGAAGAGGGCAAACTCAAACAGCTTCCCCCTGATCAGATCCCAGACACAGTCAGTGTAACACAGGGTTGATCCCTCCTCCAGATGAACAAGCAGAAGCATGAAGATCCTCACTTGCTTGCAAGTATTCAGACCATCCAGTCCAAAACCAAAGAGAAAAAGAAACCCAACAGTGGCTTCACATTTGCCACATTCTTACCCAGTAACACAGCACAGATGTCTAAGAGACTCAAAGGCAAACAGTGCAGCTCTTTGCCATAGACTTCCTAGACAAGGATGAGGATTGAAGTCTCTCAGCCTGGGGGTGAAGGTCACCTGTAGGACCTCTTATCCAACATAGCCACATGATCAGCTTTACCTGCTAGATCCCCTCTCCCTACCCTTCAGCTCTGTGCAGAGCTCTCAGCCCTTGTCATCCCCAGGCTCCACAACACTCTTGTACCTTCTTGGCACACCAGCATTCACTACAAGGCAAAACCGTTTTCTTCCTATGGTTACTCTCACTAGCGAAAGTGTTTTGTGGGTTTAATCCTTCATTGTTGGCAAACTCGATCCCCATGTCTTGCAACAAGCAGCTTTGTTCCAACTGCTTTGTAGCAATTACAAAAGACATCCTGTCATTAAGGGCTGTTGGCACCACAGGGTCTCATAAAGGATTTTAACATCCATCTCCAAGGTCACACGGGTTTGCTCAGACAGTGCTGTATTCTGCCAGGCACATACCATCCAGTATCCAGAAGGCAAAAGCAACACAGAGACAGATGGAGGAACTCCTTGAACATTGCTCCCTGTTGGGATTTCTTGGCATGCACCTACCCTTCCAAACAAAAAGGCTTTAGGGTAGTTGGTCTGCAACCAACTGATTTGATCACAATTCCTCAGAGCACTTCCCTGGTTCATCCAGCAGCACCTCTGGAAGCTATAAGGCAGGTTTCTTTCAGCAGCAGTCCATAAACACAGAGATGAACCCAGTGCTTACTAGAGGCTGCCTGAGCTGAAGCAGAAACCATTTGTATGAGCAGGTCTCAAACCACCAAGGTGTTCAACAGCCTGGCCTGCATCCAGACATGGCTCACTTCACTGGGCTACTCAAGCACACGCTTAGCTTTAGACAATAAACTTTGTGCTGAAAGAGGACCAGCCTGTTCACCCCTTTGCAAGAGACCCTGAACACTGGATCCTGCAGAGATGGGAATTCCAAGAGCAAATGCATACCCACCTGCACGAGGGCTAAATAGTCATCTACTGGGCAAGTTAAAAAGAGGATAAATCTGAACATGTTCTGAAGCAGAAGGGTTACAGCACATAAAATGCTTGTTCACCATGTATTTGTAGGAGGATTTTCAAATCCCTTACCTCCTGAGTGATCTCCATCCATCCCTGCTGCCCTGCTACACTCATGATGCAAGTCTGGACCATCCCCTTTCAGCATCCCATTACTGTACGGCACTTTGCTGCCTTCAGGTAGCTTCAGAGTAGGAGGTTTCTCACTTGGTACTGAGCTCTGCTCAGCAGGTGCTTCTTGGGTTGCAGATATCCTCAGTGAGTCCGAATGCTGGCCTGATGCGACAGACAGCATTGTGTTCTGCAGTGGGTCCTTCACACTTGTCCCACCTTCGGATGCACGTGCACCGCACCCAAAGTCCCCCATAACCAAAGGTGAATTTTCCAGTGACCCTCCATAGTTTTCCACAGGAGTCCACTCAGCTCCTTGGGACTCACTGCACACACGGTTCTTCACCCGACCATCTTTTCTGTCTCCCTGAACAGGGCTGGATAAACAGCCCCGCAATAAACGGCTGGAAACTGTCACACTCTGATCCTGTTCCTCTGTCTGCGGGGATGTCATTACCTCGGCATCACTCCTCACAGCAATGTTCTCATCCGTTCCCGTAGCTTCCTCCACAACCACGCGATCAGAGGAAACAACGCTTGCCATCTCCAGAGGTGTCTCAACTCTGCTGGCAGCAGCCTGGCAGATCCGAGCAGGCACGTCGCTTGTAGAATCAGACAGCACTTCCTCACTGCACACACGGCTCCTCACCTGGCCATCTTTTCTGTCTCCCTGAATAGGGCCGGATAGACAGCCATGTATTAAACAGCCGGAATCGGTCACACTCTGATCCTGTTCCTCTGTCTGTGGGGATGTCATTACTGCAGCATCACTCTTCACAGCAATGTTCTCATCAGCTACTGTAGCTTCCTCTGCAAGCATCTGATCAGAGGAAACAACGCTTGCCATCTCCAGAGGTGTCTCAAGTCGGCTGGCAGCAGCCTGGCAGATCCGAGTGGGCACATCGCTTGCAGAACCAGACAGCACTTCCTCAGTTGCTGCCAAAATGACCTTGGAAATTATCTGTATTGCTACTTGCTCAATTTTCTCAACTTCTTCCTTGTCCAAACTCACTTCTCCAATCTTCTCTCTTTCCAATTCATTTCCTTTTGGCTGTGTGTCCTCCTCCGGACACACAGGTACAGTACTGGTAATTGACTCAGACATCTTTTCTTCCCTGGGCGGCTCCAAACAGGCAGACTCCGAACTACCCGGTGACATGCTCGCTGCAGAATCCTTGTGACTTGATACAACTTCAACTTCATTATTGAGAAAGGCTTGTGGGATATTGGCTTCCTTCTCCATTCCCAAGGAAAGGGCTGTCACACAGCCAGTATCCGATGGCACAATTTCTGGCATCTGGCTTTCCTCAGGGGGCTTAAATGAGGAATCATCTGGCTGCTCTGCATTGCTGATCTCCTCCGTGATTCCCAAAGACTCTCGTGTCAGTGTCATTGATGCTGATGGCCCCTCATCTTGGTTGGCACTAGAGCATGAATCCTGTAGAAGGCTCGCTGCAGTGCTGACGTGACACTCTGACGTCAGAGGGAGAGATGCACAAGCAGTGCCACTGCTTTCATCTTGAGATACTATCGTTTCTAGTTTTTCACTGTCGTCTTCAAGCGTGCTGGGCTGAAGTGTCGTTACTGACAGGTCTGGAAGGTCCTGTGAGAGATCTAGCCTCTCATGAGTTTGACACAGAAGAGAGGGCGTCGTCAACCCTGCTGACCGCAGGGAGGTCGAGGTTTCATTCTCTGGGCATTCCTCTTCCTCGAAGACTGCCTCTCTCGTCGGAACACATGCTTCTGGCACTTCCCGCTGCTCTTCAACGGCTACTTCTTGTTTGCTGTAATAGCTTGCATACTTTTTTCTACGGGAATAGATCCACCAGCAGCCAAGAAGTGCCAGCACTCCAGGTATGGCATATGGGATGACTTTGCGGAAGCGTAAAGCCATTTTACAGAGCCTCAGCAATTATATCTAGAAGGAGAAACAGAAGCCGTGTTAAAATAGTCACAGGGAAGATAACAGGAAGGCTGAAGTTTCATAAATGTCTTGAGGTATTTCTATTTGCATGAACAGGCTTGTTTTCCAGCCGCTCTTTAAATTCACCTCTCTACCAGCAGACCACAGAACAAGATCCTTACCTAAGACGAGAGATACCTGGACATTTCTCACCATTATACTCATCGATTTCACTTTACCTCATCTTTACACTTCCAACAATTTCACCTGGGCAGAATCAAGGAAGGCTATAAAGCCCTGGGGGTGCAAGTGAAAAACACTGGTGCCCAAGTTATCCTTTCCTCCATTCTGCCAGTTGGAGGAAAGGGGGCAGCCAGAAACGGACGTGCAATGCGTATCAACTCCTGGCTACGTGGCTGGTGCCGTCACAAGGGTTTTGGCTTTTACAACAATGGGACATTCTTTGATGACTCTGTTAGAGAGGGATTGGATCCACCTGTCTAGAAGAGGCAAGGGAATCTTTGGCAGCAGGTTGGCCAACTTGGTGAAACGGTCTTTAAACTGAAGGACTCAGGGGCTGGGGTCGAATGTGGCCATGCTCAGCCATCGCATCCAACTGGGGATGAGGAGAACCAGAAAGCCAACCACCTCAAGGGTGTGTATGGCTACAGTGAACCCTCTTGCACCCCTCCAGGGAAACCTCCATGCTCGATTACCTCTCTGAAATGCCTGCACACCAATGCACACAGCATGGGGAATACACAGGAAGAACTAGAGGTCTGTGTGCGGTCGCAGGGCTGTGATCTCATTGCAATGACAGAGACACGGTGGGATAGCTCGCATGACTAGAATGCTGTCACAGATGGCTATGTACTTTTTAGGAAAGGCAGGCCAGCAAGGCGAGGTGGTGGAGTTGCTCTTTCTGTGAGAGCGCAACTGGAATGTATCGAGCTCCTCATAGGGGTGGGTGAAGAACAAGTTGAGAGCTTATGGGTAAGGATTAAGGGGTAGGCTAATACGGGTGACACTGTGGCGGGTGTTTGCTACAGGCCACCTGATCAGGATGAGGAAGTTGATGAGGCCTTCTACAGACAGCTGGAAGTAGCCTCACAGTCACAGGCCCTGGGTGTCACAGGGGACTTCAACCACCCTGGTATTTGCTGGAAAGGCAACACCACCAGGCACGCACAGTCCAGGAGGTTCCTGCAAAGCACTGATGACAACTTTTTGACACAGGTGGTACAGGAGCCTACAAGGAGAGGGGTGCTGCTGGACCTTGTACAAACAGATAAAGAGGGACTGGTTGAGGATGTGAAGACTTGGGGCAGCCTTGGCTGCACTGACCATGAGATGGTGGAGTTCAGGATCCTGTGTGGAAGGAGCAGGGCAATAAGTAGGATTACAACCCTGGACTTCAGGAGAGCTAAGAGCTTCTATGATGGCATGACTGGCTGGGTGGATGAAGGAAGAGCAATGGATGTTGTCTACCTTGACTTCAGCAAGGTTTTTGACACCGTCTCTCATAACATCCTCGTCAGCAAGCTTAGGAAGCGTGGGCTGGATGAGTGGACAGTGAGGTGGGTAGAAAACTGGCTGAATGGCAGAGCCCAGAGGGTTGTGATAAGCAGCGCAGAGTCTAGTTGGAGGCCTGTATGTGTGCCCCAAGGGTCAGTACTGGGCCCAGTCTTATTCAACATATTCATCGATGACTTGGATGAGGGGACAGAGTGTACCCTCAACAAGTTTGGTGATGACACAAAACTGGAAGGAAAGGCCAACACACCAGAAGGCTGTGCTGCCATCCAGCGAGATCTGGACAGACTAGAGAATTGGGCAGAGAGAAACCAAATGAAATTCAGCGAGGGCAAGTGTAGGGTCCTGCACCCAGGGAGGAATAACCCCAAGCACCAGTACAGGTTGGGGCTGACCTGCTGGGAAGCAGCACTGCGGAGAAGGACCTGGGAGTCCTGGTGGACAACAAGCTCTCCATGACCAGCAGTGTGCCCTCGTGGCCAAGAAGGCCAATGGTGTCCTGGGGTGCACTGAGAAGAGTGTGGCCAGCAGGTCGAGGGAGGTTCTCCTGCCCCTCTGCTCTGCCCTGGTGAGGCCACATCTGGAGTTCTGTGTCCTGCTGGGCTCCCCAGTTCAAGAAAGACAGGGAACTACTGGACAGAGTCCAGTGGAGGGCTACAAGGATGATGAGGAGACTGGAGCATCTCTTGTATGAGGAAAGGCTGAGAGAGATGGGACTGTTTAGCCTGGAGAAGAGAAGACTGAGAGGGGATCTGATCAATACTTGTAAATATCTAAAGGGTGGGTGTCTGGAGGAATGGGCCAGACTCTTCTCAGTGGTGCCCAGTGACAGGACAAGGGGCAACAGGCACAAACTGGAACACAAGAAGTTCCATCTGAACATGAGGAAAAGATTCTTCACTGTGAGGGTGACCGAGCACTGGGACAGGCTGCCCAGAGAAGTTGTGGAGTCTCCTTCTCTGGAGAGATTCAAAACCCGTCTGGACGCGATGCTGTGCGACCTGCCCTGGGTGATGCTGCTCTAGCAGGGGGGTTGGACGAGATGATCCCCAGAGGTCCCTTCCAAGCTCTACCACTCTGTGATAACAATGGTATTTGCCCAGCAAAAGCAGCCTGGATAGAGACACTACTTTGGAACGCAGCTCCAAAGTTTGTTCTACATCTAAATTGACTATGTTAACCACTGCTGCTCCTCTGACTTCCTAGAGTTGAAAGCTGCCTCTTACTCTAGAAAGAGTACTTCCCCGCCTAGACACAGCTGAGACTCGTGTCCCAGTCATGCTCCTCCATTTACAAGCCTCACCTGGGCAATACGAGGCAGGGCTGACATGCCTTTCCTCTTCCTGAAGCAAAGCCTACAGCTGGGACACAAAGCTCAGCAGTCACCCACATCCCCAGAACAGCCTTGCTGCAATGCACTTACAGTTTATGTTTTCACTGAGCAGATATTAAAGCAAAATACCACATGTCTGACAATGCTTACACAGACAGACTTTCCTCCAAACAGGCCTCAAGACTTTTGCCAATGAGCAACAAAAATAAAGGTTGTTTACAGGAGATAGCAAAGTCCTAGAAATGGGAAACACCCACTGGAAAAAGGTATTATCTAGTTCCTCTTTAGAAGCATAATATTTCTTCGACAAGAGAAGACAACCAAGTCAGTTTGTCGACTATGCTTAGTCTGTCTCAACTGGAAAAAACCTTTTGTTATCAGAGCAAGTGTTCTGACCACAGTTTCCAAACACAACTTTCCTTCAGGGCCTCAATTTTCACGAGGAGCTGATTACATTCTAGCCGAGGGACAAAAACATGCCTCCCTCGGGCTCAAACCGAGCATCCAAGCCTCAGATAATTTAATATTCACTCCAGATTTCTCACCTTCTCCAGCCACACCTTCCCATCCCACAGGAGCAAACACACAACCTGATCCAAGCCAGCTCGGACACCAGCCTTGCTTCCGCATCATTTACTGCGGAGTCCTAACGACTGAGGCAAGTAAATAAATGAATGGCAAAACCCGGGACTAGACAATTTCTTGCTCAATCCCAAAACAAAGGTCAGCTGCAGACACGATTTAAGAAATCCGGTAACATCTCCAATACATCATGAATGAGGTATTTATGGTGCTCTACACAGGAAACTTGAGTCTGCGTTCACTGGACATTTACACCTGATATCTTCTAAATCCAAATTACTTCCAGCTGGCTTTTACAGTCAGGTAGCAGTGCTCACTGCTGAGGATGAACTGTCGGTTAACAACAACATCTGAGACTTGGAACTAAAAAAAAACCAAACCTGTGCAATAACTGGGATGTTTGGGTTTTGGAGCTTGGTAGATGGGAAGGGTGAAGCCTGTACATTCCTAAGACAAAAGGTTCACATTTATGCTCTACAGCACAATGGCACATTGTGAGCCACTGCAAGTGCTCGTCTGCTGTCCGCTTAAGTTGTTATAATTAATGCAGAACCACCCTACGAGCTGTCTCATAGGCGTACCACAAACTCAAATTAAAGTAGCTCACAAGTCCATTCCCAGCAAGCTTTCCTGATTAAACAGACAGCTCTATTATTATCCGATTCCCTATTAAGTTGCACCAACTGTGGGAACAATAGTCCCACACAATTCCGCAGCGCAGGAAGACAGTCGCAGGATGCCCCACAGAGGGACAGGCCTGTCCCAAAGCCTGGCAGACAAAACAGCTCCAAGAGTGATTTTAACATTAATATAATTTAAGATAAAGATCTTCACTCTTCTGTGATGTTTAGATCAGTGGGGACTGATGGACTAGCTGACTGCTCTTTGCAAAGCTCGTTTAATTTCGTGTTTTTAATTTGACTAGTTTTAGCAAGAGCTGCATTACACTATCAGTGATGGTGTAAGGTGGGAATTCCACGTCTTTCCACCAGCTAGAAAGGGATAAAAGGCGGTGGCTCTGCACAAGATGCCAGCAGACATCCCAAAGCACTGGGCTGGCTAGGGGACAGCTAACACCAACAAACACCGCCTTACATAAACGCAATACGAAGACTTCGGTGGCCTGATTTTGATATGCTGGTCACAATGTCACTTTTTACGCGATGCCCAGACGATGGTTGATTTTTAACCTGCTCAACCAAATGGGTGTAAGATGCAGCACATACTTCTCTCTCATTTCCCCCACAGGACCGCTCCTAAAGCCCACATTCGTTTTCCAACACGTTTAAGACCGACAAAACCCTCTCTCCATCGCCAATTTGACAGCCAGTTCAGGACTGCAGGGGCAACGGGATCATTTAAACACATGGCGGGAAGAAAGCCTGGGATTTTTCCTGCCAGCAGCAGAACAGAAAATGGCAGCTTGTCAAATCACATGGCCTTAAGCACTGCCAAACGGGAGGGAGCCTGGCGCGACAGTCCTTGCCCGCTCCGGGCAGGAGGAGCCAGCTGGGGAAGCGCAGCCGCTCCAGAGGCTTTGCAC